TGCTTGGGCGCCCTAGACGGTTGGTGGTGTTTGGAGCTCAATCATTGTAGTGTAAAGCTTCGGGCAAGCGTCGGGGTCTCCAATTAGGTTGTGGAGATCGCCCCGAGCAATTTGACGGGTACCGGTGACCGCCCCCAAGGGTTGCCAAAGTGTACGGGTTCGGTGACCGCCCCCAAGGGTCGCCATTTGTACGGGTTCGGTGACCGCCCTCAAGGGTCCCTTAGTGGAATCACGGCATCTTGCATTGTGCGAGGGCGTGAGGAGATTACGGTGGCCCTAGTGGCTTCTTGGGGAGCATTGTGCCTCCACACCGCTCCAAACGGAGATTAGCATCCGCAAGGGTGTGAACTTCAGGATACATCGTCGTCTTCGCGTGCCTCGGTTATCTCTTACCCGAGCCCTTTACTTATGCACTTTACTTTGTGATAGCCATATTGTTCTTTGCCTATATCTTGCTATCACATAGTTGTTTATCTTGCTTAGCATAAGTTGTTGGTGCACATAGGTGAGCCTAGTTGTTGTAGGTTTTGTGCTTGACAAATTAACCGCTAGGTTTATTCCGCATTTGTTCAAGCCTAAACCGTAATTATTTTAAAGCGCCTATTCACCCCCCCTCTAGGCGACATCCTCGATCTTTCAGCGTGTCAAGGCAAGGCCAGGCGGCGACGGACATGACGGGTTCTATTACCGTCCCCGATAAAGTTGAAGGGCACGCAACCATCGCATTGAACATGTTTGTCCTACGATGCAGTGATAAACTTGTACACTGTAGCTACTTTACACCTCCTGTGTGCCACTGTGGCGACCCCTCTAACATATAAAAGGAGACTCGAGGTGTACTGGAGAAGGATTCAAACTTTTGGACCAGGCACGCCTAGCAGCTAACGAAGGTCCAAGAATACCAAATATACACTCAAAGCAGGACTAGGGTTTTACGCTCCTCAGCGGCCCGAACCTGGGTAAAAATTGACATTTAATAAAATGTTCACGATTTTGAAAAAAATCTTCCAAATTTTCAAAAGGTTCACAAATTTTAAAAAGTTTCTATATTTCTAAAATATTCCAACTCTTAAAAACATTCATAATTAAAAAAAATCATGGATCACAAAAGGTTATTCATGAATTTTAAAAAATTATCCAAATTTTAAAAATTATTCTGTAGTTTGGAAAAAATTCGTTCATGAATTTTGAGAAATGTAGGCTGATTCAGAAAAATTCGATAATTTTTAGAAAGTGTTCCCAAATATTTGAAATGTTCATGAATTTCGAAAATTGTTCCCAAATTTAAAAAGTTGTTGTCGATTCAATTTTTTCTGTAAATTCAACAAATGTTATGAATATAGAAAAAAATTCCCGAACTTAAAAAATATGATCCAACTTCAAAGAAAATCATGAAGTTGATTTTTTGCCTGTTTAAGAAATTGTTCACTAATTTCAAAAAATGTTCGTGTATTTGAATAATATTTCATGAAATTGAAAATTGTTCTTGAATTTGAAAAAGGTCTAGAGCTTGGAAAATGTTCATAGATTTAAAACAACAATTAAAAAATGAAGAACTAAGAAAAAGGAAGAAAAACAAAGAAATATCTGTCTCTAGGAAGGTTCTAGAATCTTCCCAAAACCGGTGGGTGGAAAACTGAAAATGGGTTGACCCAGTTGAACAGCGGTCGCTTCGGGGGGTTTGTGTTGCATCGCCGGGTACAACATGGGCTTGCCCCGCAACACTGACGTCGCTTTTTTTCTTCTTTTTTTTATTTTTAGTTATATTTTAAATGAATATATTTACAATTTAGGATTGAATTAAAATCTTTAATCATTTACTAGCAAAGAGTTAAAAGTGTATATGATTCTTCTTCTTATGTGTACAACAAATGCACAATATGTATGGAAAAAAGTAGACATCAAAATATATATCGGTAAAAAAATGTTAATCATGTATTTAGAACTTGTATAAGAAAATGTTTTTTACGAAAAATGTGCAATCTATATGTAAAAGTGGACATTAAAACATATATCCAAAAAAGTTTAATCATGTATTTAATTTCTTTTGCATCGAATATTGGGAGCTTTATTAAGAGATTAACATCCTATTACAATCATCCAGGCATCCAGCAAGCTGGGAGCGAGGAAGCTCGGGCATACATCTAGCCAACTATCTGTACCAGTACGTGTACTAGCAAGCTTTGCACACATGTGAGCTGGTACATTAGCAGATCTCCTAACATGCTGAACTGAAAAAGAAGCAAAACCGAAGACAACTCCCCAATTTCTTGTAGGATAGGCGCAGCTAATTTTTTAACTAGTATAAAAGATGTCCCTAATGTATACAAAAATGTACAGTGTGTCTCAAAAAGGTAGACCTCATATATGGATAACGTAAAACATACATTAAATAAAAGTAGACATCAAAAACTTATGTTTAAGAAAATATTAAACATGTATATAATTATTATTTTATGATGTATAAGAAAATGTACATTGTGTGTGAAAAATTGTTTATTGTCATGAAAAAATGTTCACCGTGTATTCTAAAAGATCTTGGCCACGTATTAAAAAAAGTGTTGAAAAATGTATGTAAGGAAAAATGTACATCCGTATTAAAAAAATGTTTAAGGTGTATCAACAAAATATTTCACATGTGCACTAAAATTGTAGAGTGTGTACTGAATAAGTAGACATATGTTGAATAAAAAGTAACCATTGAAAACCAACAAAGAAACAAAGGGAAGCGAAAAAAAGGAAAAAAAAGAAACACATAAAACCTAAAAAAGTAAAAAAAATGAAAAAGAATGAAAGAAATAGAGAAAATTGAAGAAAGCCAACCAAAGAAAGAAAGGAAAAAAATAGTGAAAACTGAAAAAGAAACTAAGGACTCGTAGAAAAGATGAAAGAAAAAAAACAATGAAAACCGAGAAAGAAAGGAAACCATAAAAAAACAAATAAAATAGTAAAACCAAAGAGAACCATGAAGAAACCAAGAAAACCGAAAGAAAAAATAGGAGGGAAAAAGAAAAAGAAAAAAAGCAGAAGTAAATTGGACCAAACAAGGAAAATTACACGAGCCAGGGAACGAAAAAAAATACACCAAAACGGGCTGGCGCAGAAATGACAGTGAAAGAAAACCTTGAGGAGAGACGAGCATAAGCGAGTATAGGTCTCGTGCTATCCCCCGACCTACACACTAAATATGATTGACCATTCTCCAAGGCCTCAATGTTACAGTTTTACCAAAAATCAACATAGAAACTGTACTGTGAGGAAACTAAAAAAATTACTTTGTACTGAAGTAGCTAAGCCAGCCCATGTTGAAAATACTTTGTATCGTAGTAGCTAATCCAGCCCATCTTGTTGAGGATAATGTTTGGCTTGACGAGCCTACTTGTAGAATGGACATTTCCCTAAAAAAAAGTGTAGAATGGGCATTATGGACTGCTAGACGAAAAGCAATTCACGAGAGAGTCTTTCAGAACCCACAGTCAATTCACTCATTCATTGAAAAATACATCCAGGAGTTGGAGATGATTGAAAACAAACCAGCAGTGACACAAGGCATCAGTATCGGTGGATCAACTTCACAGCGGCCAAAAGCACCATGGAGGGTTATGCTAAAATACACGTGGATGCCGGAGTTCGCAAGGGACAGGGTGGATCCGCTGCAGCGGTTTGTCGTGACAGGAACGGTAATTTTCTCGGGAGTTCTTCCTTGGTCATAGGTGGAGTAGATAATCCGGCCACATTGAAGGCCATAGCTTGCCGGGAGGCCCTTGCACTAACCGAAGATCTCCGACTCCACTGCGTTGACATAGCATCTAATACGAAGCAAGTTGTCTTGGACATCAGCAACAGCTCCAGAGGGAGTTACATAATTATTAGTGAGATTCATTTATACTCTAATCTTTTTCAATGTAAGTTTATTTAGGAAAGTCATAAGGTGAACATAGAAGTTCATAAGTTAGCCAAGTTTTCCTCTCGTCAGGACCGGGACGACATGTGTGGTCTGGTCAATCCCATGATCCAACTTGTATCTCACAGCTTGTGGTTTTTGATGAATAAAACTTGATTTCCCCTTAAAAAATGTAGAATGGCATGACCGTGTTTTTTTTTACGATGACCGTGGTTAATTCAAAAAGATTACTTCTTACCGCTAGTAATAAGTATCTTGAGCGGACCGTGCTAATTGCGCCCGGACCTGCAAAAAAGAAGACAAATTTGAACTCAATAATGACAGAAAAAGGAGCATCTTAGAAGAGACGATGGCAACAATCCAACAGGGTTCCTCGAAGGAAACACCGAGATCCAACGGCACGGGGCCTCTTCTTCTTGGCTCCTTCTCCCCGGCAAAACACGATCCAGTTCGTTACCGCTGGATAAGTAACGAGCGGTGAAATAGATAGACAAACGAACATGCATGGTTGTGTGTGTATCATTGATGTATGTCTGTGTTTCTGTCTCCATGTATATACAACAGTATAATAAGTGTATGGTTAGGCTGCCTGTTAGTGTATGGTTGAGCACCTGGGCTTGTTTATTCCGGATGGCGGCTAGCTCTTGGCCCCAACAAGTACCAATCGATCGATTTGTTCATCAATCCGACGAAAATGTCTAATTTTGCTAGCATTTGAATTGTTCGCATGCATGCAGAGACGTTGACGCATGCGTCGCCTGTAAAGTGTAAACGGCAGCCGTCTTCACATGGTCCTAGCTGCCGCGAATATATACCGAATCCGCCATAGATTAGTGCATGTTGATCCGCCATAACCAGTTGAAAATTCAGCTGCAGCTGTCGTCTTTGCATAGTTAACTCTGGCTGGAGATCACACGGTCTAATCTCCTCCTCTGGTAGGCTAGTATAAGAGCCATGGCCATGTTGATCCTTCTCATCACGTCAAGAAACCTCAACGTGCTGCCTGACAGCCTGAGAGAAACAAGAAAGCAGTAGGCACCACCCTCATGCTCGCTAGCTCCGTTGCTAGCTGCAGATCAGGGAGAGGGGGAGAGAGATGCCCGTGGTGGGGCTCATCCCGTTCGTGTACGCGGCGATCAAGAGGAAGCGGAGGTCGTCGTCAGCGAGGGCGGACCGCTACGCGGAGATCGCCGCCAGCGCCGCCGCGGCGCGGGGGCGGGAGCGCGCGCGCTTCGACGGCAGCGGCGCGTACCTGTCTCAGAGCTGCCATTTCGCCGTGCGTCCACCTTCGCCGCCCGACGAGCTCGGGTTCTCGTACGACGGCGACAGCCGCCCGCCACCAGAGAGTCTCTTGCGGAAGCTTTCCTCAGTAGATCGCTACGAGCGCTTGCTGTCCACGGGCGGGCGGGAGGACGCGCGCTTCGATGGCGGCGGCTACCAGTCCCAGAGCTGCCGGTTCGCGGCCCGTCCTTGGACGGCCGACGAGGTCGGTGTACAATGCGACGGAGGCTCCACTCGCAGCACGCAGCCGGAGGGCGCACCACGCCAGCTGCTTCCTCCGGCCAGCCAAGACGACCGCCTCGCCACAGCCGAGATGCGGGGACGGGGGAACGCGCGCATCGACGGCGGTGGTCACCAGTCTCAGAGCTGCCGTTTCGCCGTGCGTCCTTCGCCTGTCGACGAGCTCAGTATTTCGCGCGACGAAGGCGGGGCCTCCCGCCACCTCCCGGCGCGACCGGAGGGTCTCTCGCGGCAGCTGCCTCTGCCGGCCAGCCGAAAAGACCCCCTCGGCACCGGTGAGACGCGCTGGCGGGAGCGAGAGCAAGCTCGCTTGGACGGCGGCGGTCACCAGTCTCAGAGCTGCCGGTTCGCCGCGCGACCTTCGGATGCCTACAAGTTCGAGCTCGGTTTCTCGAATGACGAAGAATACGGCGTCACCAGTCAGGCGCCGGAGGACCTCTCGCGCAAGTTGCTCTTGCCGGCCGGCCGGAGGGAGCGCGAGGTCTCCAAGTCCCTGAGGTTCAGCAGCAAGCGCGTGTTCGCATGGGTCAGTGGCGCCTAACATGCCTTGTTGCTTTCTGTCGAGCAGCTTGCGTGCAGCGCCAGACCGTTGCGAAACCCGCCGTGAGCTTTGAGTGCTTTGACGTGTCGGGCATCTGAATATATTCGACGCATATTTCACTTTCAGAACAATTGTTTGATCAATGTGTCTATATTTTTTATTGTTAAAAAATTGTCTCTACACTTTTTTTATTCCGTGATGGTCCACAAAAGAAAATGGTTCAAGCGTGATTAGGACGCCAACATAAGCATCGGAGGAGTACGTAAACAAACGTTGTTTACTAACAGTGATATCTCAGTCCATCAGGGTTTAAGTGTTGGTGCTCGCATTTATCTTGAATTTATTTCAGAATTTTCAGCGATGCGCGTTCAATGTGATAAGATGTTTTCCTCGACTACGAGGCGCCTACGGTGACTACGTAAAATCTTAAGATGATATGCCGGCTCAGTCTTTCTGAGATGGTCATATGAGTAGGGTGTGTGTATATTAATAGGGGTGAGTGTATGCATGTATATATGAATGTTTGCGTCTGTATTGTGTTAAATAAAAGGCTTGAGAAAGTGCTGACCATTTTTGAGTTAAATTTTCTTTTTTGTATATAGACCTAATATTATGCGCGAGCAAAATGATGAATGCGCTTAGAGATGCAGCCCTATGCTAGAGAGCATACGGCATTTTTCGGCAAGGGTGGATTTTATTGACTTCAAATAAATTATGGATATAAATACAATGAGTACACATCTGATCTCTGTACAGTTAGGATGCACACAGCCAACACCAATACACGTAAAAACACATCGATAAATAGCAAAATCATATAAGTCTCCTGCTCTGCCTTTCTCTTGTGGATACCCATCCACGGAAAAGTCAGTACCTTACCTGTCCTTGAGCTGGTCAACTATATCCTTCGAAGTGAAGACTCCTTTATTTCTTCATCATCTTCAAAGTCTCCCATTGTAGCATCATAACATGGAAGAAACCCCTGAGTAATATCGGAATGGCCCCAGAGAGAACCCCATTCTTTCAAGAAAGTTCTAATTAATTATGTCAAAAAAGAAATAAGGAAAATAGGAGTAAGCGAGTATGGTCAACAAGATTCTAAACGAATACCACAAGTGACGGAATCGACGATGATGAAGAGATAAGGGGTGAAGTATATTTTTTTCTATTATTCCAATTCTTATATATTGGAGCCGTTCAACCTCGAGGCCGTGCTCCACCTCCATGCCATGCTCTGTCGCCTGCCGCTCGGCCACCAGCAACCGCCCCCACACATAGAGGTGTTGTCGCTCCTCCTCCTCCTCCTCCTCCTCGGTCGCACCCTACCAAACGGGCGGGCACAACACGTAGATGGGCACCACTCTCGTTCGCTGGTAGACCTTGGACCCGAGCGTGGGCGCGGGTGGTGGCGGTGTGTTGGCCTCGATGCCGGGTGCCGAGTCCGCCAGTGCCTGGTCAAGGCCAGGCCACCTGGCCATCTCCTCGTGCTCAGACTCCCCGAGCGCCCTTCATGTCAGTCTCCTTGAGGCGGCCTCCTCCTCTACGTGCTCCTACTTCACCACCATCAGCGGTGGTGGAGCACGAACATCCATCTGGACGATCCCCTCGCGGCGCACATCGTGCTCTGTGGCGAACCGGACATCCCAGTTCGGGGAGTCCGCCGTGTAGGCTGGGTCGCGAAACGCCGGCGAGAAGGCAGCATGGCGGTTGCGGATCTTGGCCGCACACACACGCTCAGACTGTGGTACTGCCGGCACCGGAATCTTGTTGGGGTAGAGGTGCCAGCCGTGTGGGAGGTTAATGTCTGACCATGACAGAGGGGTGCGGTGCTCACAATGGTAGTGTGCCCTGTGCATAGGGATGTATAGCCGACCGCGCTCGTGTCACAGTCGCCTCCACCCCCTGCCGCCCTGATGTCTACTACACAACTTTATTCTTATATACGTTGTTGGGCCTCCAAGTGCAGAGTTTTGTAGGACAGCAGTAAATTTCCCTCAAGTGGATGACCTAAGATTTATCAATCTGTGGGAGGCATATGATGAAGATGGTCTCTCTCAAACAAGCCTGCAATCAAATACAAGAAATCTTTTGTGTCCCCGACACACCCAATATAATGGTAAATTATATAGGTGCACTAGTTCGGTGAAGAGATGGTGATACAAGTTTAGTATGGATAGTAGATATAGGTTTTTGTTATCTGAAATAATAAAAACAATAAGGTAGCAAGTAACAAAAGTGAGGACAAACGGTATTGCAATGCTTGAAAATAAGGCCTAGGGTTCATACTTTCACTAGTACAATCTCTCAACAGTGCTAACATAACTGAATCATATAACAATCCCTCAATGTGCGACAAAGAATCACTCCAAATTTTCTATCGGAGAAAGTAGGACGAAAACATGTATCAACCTCTATGCCTAGATTACCCCAATGTCACCAGAAAATCCGCAAGTTGATTACCAAAACATACATCAAGTGAATCAATAGAATACCGCATTGTCACCACAGGTGTCCATATGCAAGACATACATCAAGTGATCTTAAATCCAATATTTAATCCAGCATAACGAAATCTCAAAGAGCAAGACTCAATTCATCATAACAAAGATAGAGAGGGAAGAACACCATATGATCCAACTATATTAACAAAGCTCATGATACATCAAGATCGTGCCAAATCAAGAACACGAGAGAGAGAGAGAGATCAAACACATAGCTACTAGTACATACCCTCAGCCTCGGGGGTGAACTACTCACACATCACCATGAGAACGGAGGAGAAGTTGGTGGTGATGGTGATGGAGGAGATGTCCCCGACGGTGTCTCGGCGCAACTGGAGGAGAGGGTAAGGGACCCCCTCCTTCTTTTTCCTTGGTCCTCCGGGGGGTGCGGGGGTGGGGGTGGGGGGAGGGATCCCTCCCCTAGATTGGATCTCTCCGTTTTCTTCTATTTCTCACTACTTTTTTTCTGGCCGAAAATTGTTTCTTATATTCCCGGAGATCCTTCGATTGGGCTGAAATTTTGAGGGAATTTTAATCAGGAAATTATCTTTCTTGCGGATAAAGAAGGGCTCCAACCGACTTACGAGGTGCCCACAAGGCATCCCGGCATGGCTAGGTGGTAGGTCGCGCCCTGTTGCCTTGTGGGGCCCTCGAGCACCATTTGGTGTTGATTCTTCCTCCAAAAAATCACATATATTCCATAAAAAATCTTTATAAATTTTAATCGCGTTTGGATTTTGTTTGGTATGGATTTTCTATGAAATGAAAAACATGCAAAAAACATGAACTCGCACTTGGTACTAGATTAACAAGTTAGTCCATAAAAATAATATAAAAGTGCACCAAGACCATATTAAAATTTTGCCAGCATGGCATGAATACTTCATAAATTGTAGATACGTTGGAGACGTATCATGCCCCAACGTGAAGTTTGCCACGCTTGTTGAAGAAGCCCATAGCGCCGGCGGTGGCTAAGGTTCGTGTCGGCTGGTCGGGGAGCAAGAAGCTAGATGTGGACAGGACGGGCGCGTCAGACTTCCCGTGGCCGACGTGTGGGCCCGGGTGCGTGTGTGACATTTAATTGGACCAACATTGGTGGTTGGGCGGCCAACACATGGACCTAAGGCAGACACCGAGTGGACGCGCAGCGTGTCTGTCTCGTGTCCACATGGACACAAATCTGGGCCAAATTTGGATAGCAAATGCTTTCAGACGGACATCAAGTGGACATATTTTGAGAACACTTTGGCGCGTCGTGATCGGACGAAATGTGTCGGCACATTGGAGTTGGCCTAAATGGGTGCCCTAGGACATTTGAGGCCCTGTGCAACTGCGCATGTTGCACATGCCCAAGGCCGACCCTGCTCGCATCCCATGCCGACAGCCGTCTACCGTGACTGGCGCCTCAGTGTCGAACACCCGTCATGCATCAACCTAAGTAGTGGCGCCTGCTAGAGCCTCATTGACGACAAGGTGCGCCTATTTTCCACGCCCAGCCATGGCCTCATCAACTCCGATGTATCGACACACGTCATAGGAGTTGCATCGCTTAGATCTGCCCTGTCCCCGAGCGCCCCGTTGCTAGTACACTGCTCCATGGCCACCTCTCCCGAGGCCGGCCCATCCTTCCCAATCACTACATCATTGTTAGCAGCATTGCTGCGCGCCACTTCTGGCTTCAGATCTAACGCCTCGAATGCGTCCAACGTGCTAGCATCGCAGTCTCCCATGATGACTAGGGTGGGATCGATGTCGATTGCTATAGCCACAAGATGCAGCTACAACCTTGACAAGACGCACCATCCCACGACGAGAGTGTACTGGCATTTTCGAAGAAGACCTTGACGCGGTGGCTGTTGAAGTGCACAAGCACCATGCGCAAGCTGCCATTGCTGCCTGTACAGGTGCTTGTTGGTCTGAGACGATGATGAAGACAGAGCGGATCTCCTGATCACGCAAACCCATGTATGCACCGATGGTGGCCGTGCCAGAGCCTTTGGACGCTGCCAGCCATGCAGGATGCGGCAAACCTCCATCGTGGCGTGGCCCTTCGGGTCATGCAGCACCCCATGAGCGTCGATTCAGGCTGCAAGTGGGAGTGGATAATAGTGGGACTAACTTAGCCCATCCCACTTAAACTGTTTTGTCGACACCCGTGGGACATCACAAATTTTAAATGGACTATCCCATTTTTTGATAAAAGTGAGCTCGCCTCTCCTATTTCTATTACCAGGAACCACCAAGTTCTTACAAGGGACCAAACTAAAGGAGAAACAAAAGGGAGCAGCACCTTGATAACCCACAAGTATAGGGGATCACGATAGTCTTCGAGGGTAGTATTTCACCCAAATTTGTTGATTCGGCACAAGGGAGCCAAAGTATATTTATGAGCCTTAGCAGTTGAGTTGTGAATTCAACCACACGTGGGAAATAATATTTCTGCAGCAAAGTGTTTAGTAGAACAGTAGTTTGATAGTTTTGATAGTAGCAGTAATCGTA